ATTCCAAGTTTGTTGGTCAGATCATTGGAACTATAATTTGCTCGTCGTGTACCACAATATGCCATACACTACTATACACATGGAAATCAGGAATCAATAATGAGCCAATAGAGTTCAAGCCAAAGTCTGTCGAAGGTAAGATTTTATGAATCTTGTAATACATCATTGGTGTCCAAGCCACTAACTTGCTACCGGACATGGAATACCTGTTCATATGACAGAAACAAATGTGGACCAAGTGTCCACTCAAACTTCAAGATATAATTCTAGAGTACATCTGTTGTACTATACAGAACAAGCTGGGGCAGGTTCACTAATTTTAGCAAGAGTGGTGTAAATAATATGATGATAATTAGGAGGTTGTATAGAATAAGCTCACATGCTGGGCATATGAGACAGGAGGACTACATGTCACACTATGGGCTAACCTCCCCTGCTTGACCTTGTTGCAGTACTTGAAAGGGCAGAATCACTCGCAAGGAATGGACACCTGATTGCAATGTAGTAGAGAGTCATCAATTGCCCGCATGTCATCATTTTTAGATTCTGACCCTACAAGTCCAGATAATTCAGGTAGGCAGGCTGTGGGTCCGGGGCTGGGTGGCCAGCTAAACCCATCTCTATCTGGCCATCTCTCTCTAAGCTTAGAGGAGTCCTAGGTAGGCCAACCACTACAGATAGAGATGTCTGATCATCCATAGGACGTTGAGGAGAAGAGACCAGAAGACAGCATCCATGTGAGAAATTAATAGGAAATTGGAATATTGTAGATAGTAATCAATTCAATTTGTTAGGCTGTAACATGATGTAATAGGCCTTAAAGTAAAAAATAATCTCTCAAGGAGACATCAATTAGGAATAAATGAGGAAAAGCTGCAGTCACAATGATGTCACCACAATCACAATGCAGTAGTACTCAAAATTATGGGCTGCATAATGTGCAGAAAGAGGGTTTAAGTTGGGAATGGTGTCGAGAATAAATTGTTACATATTAAAGACTATCCTGAGGAGATCCAGATATGAGATACTGGAAACAGGATAAGACTACAAGATCAAGGCAGAACTAGTACATATCAAGTGTAGTTGGCCAGAGTCCAGTAGGAAGGCAGCCAATAGAAAGTATTAAGATGTAAAAGCTGGACACTACACCATGCCTAAACACAAGGATAAGAAGTGTTGTATCATAGATGAAGGGGAGAACTGCAAGGATTATCAGGAGATAAGAATGGATTTCAGGATAAGGCACGGCAGGGGGAATACATCAGAAGGAATAGACTAGTTATCATACTTTTCAAGATACAAAGTAAAAGGATCAGTCAGCCCATGAGAGAGTAGGTGGAGGGTCAGATGTTATCAGAATGGACAAAACATCTGAGTCCATGACAGGAGGTCATTCGGAAGAGGGTCAATGAGTGATTGAAATCAGGACACGATGTCAGCCTGACATCGCGTTCAGGTTAACTGTTATCATTTTACTGCCCTGTGTGTTAGATGTACAGGAAACACAGGACGCAAGTAATTATTTTTACTGATGTCCTTCCTAGTAAGCCCAAATCCAGAGCTCTATTAATACAATACCTGTCACTGCTGAAGTTGAAAATAGTCATTACTGTTTAGGAACAACTCTAAAGGGGAATAACAGTTGAAATAGGAGATATAGTTATGTTAGTAAATATTACGATCACAGTCTGAGAAGAAAGACTTCACATGATCGAATGAGGACGAAAGTGACTTTGCCTTTTCTTCCACCATCTGGTTAAATATCCTGAATGTTATCCTTTCCAACCTACAGTTGACCCCCCAGATAGCTTGGCTTACTCTTCTACTCTTAACTTCTCAGGTATTCATTCTTCCTTATCTACTCTCTTTTTCTCATCTCTCTTATCTGTTCTCCCACTACTACACATACAATATTTTCTTCTTTTGCTGTAACTAAATTCTCCTATTCTTGGAAAGGTTCATCATAAGAATTTCCTGTGCTCAACATGCCAGGTACCACTTTGTGTTTCCTATTGTATTCACATGTACAAGGGGGGGGGAAAAAGTAATACGACACCCGTACAACACAAATTCCTGTATGGAAACAATATCAACAACATATAGTACTACCATTTTCCACAACCACATTCAATAAATAAAATAAGTAAAGGAGATAAAATTAAAAAATGATTAGTATTTCCTTAAAGTAAAATAAAAAGAAAATCATAAATCAATAATGAGTTTGGTGCCCTTTTCTTCTAATAACCTCTCTGACCCACTTTGGCATACTTCTGCAAAGATCCATAAAACTTCCATCAGGAATAGCTTTCCATGCTTCCTCTACAACTCTGATTAGCTCTTCCTTGCTTGCAACTCTTCTATACCTTTTCCCCAAGTAAGTTTCCATATCTCCCCAAATATTTTCAATTAAGTTCAGGTCTGGTGACTGTGGTGGTCAGGGCAATATATCCACCCCATTCCTTTTTCTACACTTTGTAGAATATCTGTGATTAAACCAGTAGTTAGATTATATTCTTAAGTCAGTATTTCTATATCAAAAAATAGAAAATACAATAATTATAAGGAGGTAGAACCTACCCTTTATGCCCTGGTGCACCATCTTCAACAACCCTAGTCCAATCAAATCTCTCACAATACTCATGCCAGAAAGGAATTAAAACTGGATCCAGAATATACTTAGTATACTCATAAGAATCCACTTTAACCTTTCCTGGTACTACCACTAGCTTTGACCTCAAATCCCTACAAAAGGCTCTCCATACCATAACTGTCTCCCTTCCTGACTCCCAGACCTTATCAATGCAATCCTGATCATATTCCTCAGAAGGTTCTCTTATCACCCATCCTCTCTGCCCAAATCCATCTGTAGAGAATGAGGTTTCATCAATCCATATGATTCTGGTCCAGTCTCTTAGTTTCCAAGCTCTTTTTCTCATATATCAACCAAATCTATTGGTATATTTTTAGGGTGCAATCCCCATCTAAAATATCTTTTAATTCTGTAAACACTTGAATCTTCATTAAAGTACTTACTTCTTGCGTGGTTTTCTTTTATTTAAATTAAGACTCTTAGCTGCCTTCCTAATTGTCCTAGATGATACCTTTAATCCCTTCTCTTCTTTAATATCCTCCCAAGAGAGTCTTCTATTTCTTTTATTTTCTTTAATAAAAGACTTTAGATCAAGTAGATCAGACTCCTGGAAGATTGGAGGTCTTCCTGTTCACTGGTAGTTGGAAGGACTACCTGTTTCTCGATACCGTTGATAGTTGTGAGCACTGGTACTATGGTGAACTTTAAGGCCTATTTTTTCCTCCAATTCGGCAGCTATCTTTCTGAAAGACCACTCCACTATTTCTCAGAGAGCAATAATACGGATCCAGTCATCACACGTGGTTTCCTGCTGGAAGCGCTGTCGCTTCTTCATTAACAATCGCCGCTGCTCAAGATTTCGTGGACTAATCGCTAAATCATTTAATTTTATTATTATTTCAACTTTATGTACATATTCATTTAATTAAACTACTTATGCTCACTTTTGCGGGTTCCCTTTACCCTCATAGTGCTTTTCTGAAATGGTTTGGCAGGTGGTGGGGGATATAGTGAGTATTGTAGTGATGGGGGTTGGGAGTAGAGTTGTGATCTTGTGGGAAGCGGTTGCTACTGTGTCGCGCTACTTCTTTCCCCCCCCCGCACAGTCGTGTCCATTTAATAATTATACTTCTGTCAGGCAATCACAACTATAACATTTAATGAATTCAATCATACAAAATATCAAGATACAAAGCCAATTAAGGAACTGATGAAAGTACATGACCTAATCTTCAAATAAATCCTATTACCATTTTGTATGACCGGGAACCCCTCAGTCACCCAAACACTACCGGATCCCCCGGTAATTCCGATGATCCGCCACGGGCGTAATCAACCAACAGATTAGGACAAACCTCGTTTTCGAGAGTATTTTAGTAGGCGATAGGGGAGGGGGAACTCTGGCTTAGGTTGAGGCTAGGGTTAAGTGATACCATCGCCTCACCCAAACGATTTCTACAAGTGACCTAGGGAAAAACAAGGGCAGTGGTCGCGGGTGAGGTAGAGTCGCCCGAGTTTTAGAGTATCATACTTATGCTATGGTGTAGGGTATGATATGATATGATACAGTAGATACGGCGCAGCGCGGTAGGGCATAGTAGGGCATGGTAGGGTATGTTGGTGGTGTGGTTTTGGGTGATTCTGGAGAGTACCGTATCCATACCGGTAATCATCTCACGTAGTATCACTCGGAAACCGATTCCAGATCCCCAGACAATTTCCATTTTTCGAGTGGTTCAGTAATTGGGGTAGGTCTGACGTAAGGGTGGATGTCATGGCTGGAGGGGTTTGTCGGGCGGGCTGTGACAGAAGTGGCCGCAACACGGCAGGTTGGGTTCTTTGGGAGGAAATATCGGACCCTGGTGTGCAGGAGGTGGATACTCGAGTATGGACGTGGGTGACCGGACAGAGAGGGTCAGAAAATGTATAACTCACCTTACCCGTAAATCTTCCTATAAGCGACCATCATAATTAATATGAGACTGTGTACCGGTAGAAACTGCGGGTGACATACCTAATCCCCCTGACTCCCCTACTGCTCTAGAAGGAGAGAAAGAACTAAAGAACCGCAAGTCTAAAAAGAAAAGAAAATCACTCTTACCTTCTTAGAGAGCCCTTCAATCAAGCACCCAGCTGACACCTAGCAGAATCAAAGGTCCACCCACCATAATTTACCCGTTGGATGGCTATAGGTAGCTCTAGTTAGAGAATAAATGATACGCAAATACTCGAGTACGCGTATGATGACAAAAGGGTAATGCGTCTCAAGTTCGTGTCGAGATTCCATTTGCCGCTGGGTTACTCGTACACATCTGTGTGCATTTTTATTGAGTAACCCTACCCTACAAGAGCCGCAGAACCCGCTGCAAGCTATCTCACCTTTTGGGGGTGGTGCCGGATATATATATGTCTTGGTACTGCTCCTGGCACGGAGATTTTTGGAAATATATTCTCCCTCTTGCCAGGAGAGTTGTTATTTCGGATGAAGGATCAATCAATGGAGACCATCATGAATAACGACACAGGTTCCCGATCTGGCTGGTTCAAGGCCGCTCTTGAGGGGGTTTTGCTGAAGAGGGGAGTTGATCGCGGGGTTGTGCTGGGGGGTTTGGTGCTCTGGATGATTGGGTGGATGGTGTGGAAGAGCTATTCTTTGAGGGTAAGTATGATGCTCTCTGCCACTGATTCCTTCGCGCTGAGAGATTGGGCTAAGTTTATTTGCCGGGTCTGCCTCTACCTAGGTGAATGTTGACGCAGTGGGAGATTCTCCGGGCCCATTTGGAGGTTGGAGAGCGATGTTCAAGTACTTTGATCATGGGAGCGATTGGATTACGGAGGGCTATAAGAAAGTACTCCTCTTCACACATCCCAGCTCTGTCCCCTCGAGCAAGCACCTAATGATGATAACGTAGTACTCCCACACCGGCAAGACTTTCAAAGTCCCCACCATAGCACGCTATATCGTCTTTCCAACCTCGCCAAAGCTTCTGGAGGAAATGATGGCTGAGCCAGAACACATTTTATCATTCGACGAAGCGCTGACCGAAGTACCCCCCCGCCGCCACTCGAAGCTCCGTGAGCGGTATTGACGATATATCACAGAAAGTAGCTGTAGAATGGACGCTCCACCCAAGCATCAAGTACGACACGTATCATTTAAAACTCATCCGGACCAAACTCACCCAGCGCCTCAGCATCGTATTACCTGAAGTCATGGATGAACTAACACTTGCTTGGGAGGAGAGCACCAATATTGGGAAAGAGTGGACAAAGGTCCGGGTATGGGACGTGATGTTGCAGATTGTGGCTAGAACTATAAATCGGATGTTTGGTTCGTACTAGCTTAAACTATACCCCCGCATTCTCCAGCTCCCAAGGGCGAGACTAATATCTATATCGACGGTCCTGCATGGCAGTCGGTGTCCCGTTATGTCGGGACCAAGAATATCTCGACAACGTCATCCAATATACCGTCAAGGTTGTCAAAGCAGGAGCAATACTTGATATCCTCCCGAGGATATTCAGAGCGTGCCTATCCGCCTATCCCCCTTCTACTTCGGTGGCTGACCAATACATAGCCCCCTCACAAACCTGATTATGCAGAAATCCCACCACTACGCAATGATGCGCAAACACGTGGGCCACATATTTAGCGAGCGCAAGGAGAAGATGCGAGAGCTGGGCTCGGAATGGAAAGATCGCCCAGACGACCTAATTCAGTGGATTCTCGACCTCGCCGGAGACGGAAAGGCCAGCTCGGAGGAGGAATTGATTTTCAGACTACTATTCATGAATTTTGCTTCCATACATACCACTACTTCCGTATGATATGATACCTCATCCCCTTCGGGCAAATGGTAGGATAGAAGGAGGAAACTAATGAGGGAGAATGAAGACCTTAGTCCACGCCCTCTACGACATCGCCGCAAACCCCGAGCTTCAACCACCCCTCCATGCTGAAATCACCGGAGCCCTAAGCAAGAGCGGCATGTCCAAGCAATCGCTCACAAAGATGAAGAAACTAGACAGCGTAATCCGTGAGAGCCAACGATTAAACACCATCACCACAAGTTCTCCCCCCCCCACCCCCAACAAATAATCACCCGCTAACAACCCCTTCTCCTACAATAGTAACAATGATGCGCAAAGCCCTAGTTCCGTACACCTTCTCAGATGGCACCCACCTCCCGGTTGGGACCTGGGTGGCCGCGCCCGCAACTGCAATCCATCTCTCAGCCTCCATCCCAAACCCAACCGTCTTCGACGGTTTCCGCTGGGAGCGCATGGGGGCGGAAGACCAGGCCTCTGGCAAAGTGGGCAAGCACGCTGCCGTCACCACATCATTCGAACAGCTAGCCTTCGGTCACGGGAAGCATGCATGTCCCGGGCGCTTCTTTGCTACGAACGAATTGAAGATTTTATTGAGTCATGTGATTGAGCGGTTTGAGTTTCGGTGTTTGGAGGGAAAGAGACCGAAGAGCAGATTTTTTGGCGTTGCGTGTCTGGCGGACCCGAATGGTGTGGTGGAGTTTAGGATGAGGTAGGGGTTTGTGCGTGGATGTGGTGGATCGGTTCGCGGGGGGGGTGAAGTTTGTTTGGGCGTTTTGTCTCGCTTTATTGTTTGGGGATGTGTGCTATGAATGTAAGTCGATTTCCAGCAGGAGATAAGCCATCAGCGACTTGTGGTGATATGCCCCGCCGCCCATCCATCGCCAGTACATAGAAGACTACTTTCCCCTCCTGTGCCAACCTATATATATCGGTATTCGATCACCTATCACAGGCTAGACATCACTGAAATAACACCAAACCCACCCCATAAGCACGATAGAGTTAAGTCAACCCCCATCATGTAACGACCCCTCCACCAGTGGCTCATTCGGGCAAGTCACCCCTTAAACCCCCTAGCCAACAATGCTCCCGCAATCCCACTCCCCCTCTCGGTCGCCAACAGATTAAATTGCGCCACAGCGCTCCCAGTATCCATGACATCGACCCTAACCCCCAATTCCGCAATCCTCTTCTTATCCTCGGGAGCCAAAAATAAAGTCCGCTTTCCCGTTCCAATAATCAACAACTCTACCCACAGTCAGCCATCCACCCCCCTTCAGGGCCACCAAAGGATCATATGAGCGGGAAACAAACCAGGCTTCGGCCAAACAACCTCCAAAACCCCCCACGAACCCTCCCCAAACCCCACCAGCCCACCTTTACAAGCAACATCCGGCGCCCAACTAAACACGAAGTCATTTAACAAGAAAACCCCGCTCCCGGGCGCGGTGCGGATCCCACTTGCCAGCAGGAAGTGCGTGTCATAGAGTGCTTCCACGGAGTTCACAGGACTTGGCAGGTCGCTGTATATGTCCAGGCCCAAGAGCCCTGGCGCGGGGGAGGGGGTGTCGTGATTATGACCCCTCAGGGAGCTGTTAGAGGTGGCGGGTTCGGGAGATCTGGAGGGGGAGGGATGGGGGATTGTGTGAAGTGGTTGGGATTTTGGGGGGCGGGGGGATGGTCGGGGGAGGGGGTGGAGGGTGAGGAGGCGGGGAGTTGGGAGGAAGAAAGGGCGCATTCCCAGAGACTGGTTTAGGTAGTTTGCGGGGGATTGGGTGTTTGTCGTTAATTGATTCAGAGGACGGATGGAATGCTAGCGACAACGGTGAATTTATGATACGGTAAAAGTCTTCAATGCCACAACCTTGGCGTAAAAAAATCTAGAATGCCACAACAGTTTAGAAAATAGAGACTTTGCGATTGACACATCCAGAGTCTTTTCACATGTTTGGCCCGCATATGCCAAGACTAGTTGCATCTAGACCTTGATTTGACTCCGGGAGTGGAGCAAATTTAACAAATTTGACCTTCACAACTCCGATCATGCAGAGTTCCACCAATCCTACTTTATTTTATTTCTTACTTTTGATTTTGCAATCCTCTAAGCGGTTGCAATGAGTGACCTGGACCTTGGACTCTTTGAATTTGAGTTGGGTCTCCTACAGCTTAGCCTTTATCAGCATGCATCTATACGTACGAATGCAAGGTGGAGAGGGCAGGAGCGGGAGGGGGGGACAAATTGATCTAGAAGGACTAGAGTCTAAAGCCTGGAAAACAGATATTAGGTAGGATTCAGAGATGTAGATAGAGGATAATAGTTAATTGTTTTGCAAATAGGTTTTCAAAAGAAGAAATTGAGAGGATAGTGAACTGTTTGGACATTCTAGAGCGGGTATATTGTGATAACAGAATTTATGAGTCAGATGAAGTAGCATTTTGTATGCTACTTGCACGACCTTCCTGGCCAAACAGTTTATCCAAACTTTACCTCAAGTTTGGTTGGAAACCAGAGTGAGTGTCATGTATTACAAATACCCTCCTCTGATATCTTTTTAACCATTGGAAGGATCTTCTCTTCTTTGATCCTGAACAGCTCACCTCCGATTGCTTAGCAAAGTATACTGTTGCTATAAGAGAAAGAAACACCCTTGGAGAGCTGTTGAGGATTTGTGGATAGTACACTAAGGCCTATTGTGCGGCTAATTTATGGCCAGGAGGCTGTGTATAATGGATGGAAGTGAATTCATTGCTTGAAGTATCAGGCAATTATTGCCCCTGATAGGATTATTGCCTATTTGTATGGACCAGTGGAGGGACGCATTCATGATTCTACAGTATGGCATAAGAGTAGGATGAGAGAGATATTAGATGCTTATGTTTATACCCCTGATGGAACTCCACTTCAAGTATATGGAGATCCAGCTTATGGCATTAATGAGTATTTGATATCTCCTTTTTACTGGCGCATTACTTACAGAGGATCAAAGAGAGTGGAATAAGTCTATGTCTAATGTCAGAATAGTGGTAGAATGGTGTTTTAAGGAAGTACTATAACATTTACTTCTTTAGATTTTACTCGTACTCAGAGGTTATTGGTTTCTCCTATTGGGTTACAGTATTTTGTTGCATTTCTTCATTATAATGGTCATGTATACTTGCATAACTCCCAAATTCCCCAATACTTTGCTCAGAATAATCATTTGAACTTGCCTTTTCCACTTGATGAATCTCAGGCAGAAAATCTCCCTATATTATTGAAACTGCCAAGCTTGGAAGAATATTTTCATTTTGAGTATTAAGCAAAGAATGTATTTCTTTCTATTGGTTTCTGATAAAACTATCTACTGTTCTCATATCGAAGTCTACTGTGACCTTGTAGACAGGTCTGGGAGCACTCAAGAACACACATAATGATGGATGTGAAACTACATCAAACAGGGGGATGTGTTTATCAGTCATCCAGAAGACAAGTTTCTTCCATACAATGTTTCATCGGCGATGGATAGTTGATACCTACTTGTATTGATTGGTTTATTTCTCTCCCTTTTAAAGTACTTTTCATCGCTAAAAAAACTATAGGCTTGGTGGGCTTAATAAACTGGTAGGATGTCAATTCCTACCATCCAGATGAGGGCGATGGAATACCACACTGATGTGCTGCTTGCAATGGATATGAAGGAGTTATGAAGCTACTACTTGGCCAGAAAGTTGTTAAACCTAATCGCCCAGATGAGAATAATCGAACACCACTTGGATGTGCTGCTATTAAAGGACAGGAAGGGGCTATGAAGCTGCTACTTTACCAGTAGAATGTCAACCCCAATCACCTGGATGAGAATGATCGAACACTACTCGAATATGCTGCTTTCTAAGGATACCAAGGGGTTATGAAGCTATAACTTGACCTGAGTAATATTGATCCCAATTATCAGGATATAGATGATCCAATACCACTAGGATATTTTGGTTTCAACAAACACAAGCAGGTTGTAAAGCTACTACTTAATTAAGAGGATCCAAATAGTGAAAGACAACGTGGATATGCTGCTTTTAAGAGACATGAAGGAGTTGTGAAGTTACTACTTGACTTGGAAGATGTTGATTCTTGTCATCCGAATAAGCATGATGAAATATCATATGCATGAGCTGCTTTAAAAGAATACTAAGGGATCGTAAAGCTACTCCTCGGCTGGAAAGATGTCAACTACAATCATTCGAATATCGATGATCAAATACTACTCGGCTGTGCTCCGGTCAGCAGATATTTAGGCATAGTCAAACTTCTGTACACCCATAGATCAGAGAATCTAATAGCTAAGAGTCTGAAGAAGATTCCTGAATATATGTTGGAAATATACATAGAAGTAATGATACTATTTCAAAAGTAATTTGAGAAAAGCAAAAAAAAGTTCAATGTAACTTATTGATGTGATGAAACAAGAGATCGCAAAAGCATTTGGATTGATTCCTTTGTCTGCTGATTGCTTTCAATCAATAAATCCATTTTCCTTCCCAAGTCTTGCTATACCTGAATATTTTCTTGCTCTCTTTTATCTTGTTCCTCTATCCTCTTCTTCAAGTCCACTGCTTTCTCATGTAACTCTTCCACTACACCGGCAACTTCCTTTGCAAAATGGTTTTTCTCTCGCTTTTGCCGCTTTGGTGGTGGAATGGAGAAATCGCTCGTGCTATTACTTATACCATCTGACCCCCTCCTCTCCTTTGACTTCTCTAATGTTTTCTTTAAAATAAGACTTTCCAAAGAGGTTTGTTGAACCTTCTTTCCCTCCTCTATCTTCTTTGCCATTTTGACTCTTGCTAATTCTTAATATCACTATTTTTTGATAAAGACTAATATCGGAGCAAAATGTCATCGAATCATTTTATAAGATTGGTCACTTCTTCGTTGGTTCCTGTCTTTTGCTTTGAAAGTGTTTCTGCTTCCTATTTTATGAATTTAATTAGATTATTTTTTTTTTACAAAATATTATTTAATTTTTACTAACTTTATCCCAGACGATTAGTTTGTCCATACCATCCTTGCAGGAGGACCAGGAACGGCTCATCCCAGAACGAATAAGGTTTTTGAAAACCTCCTGCCAATGGTCCTTCTTTCTTCTAACCTGAGTAAGGATAGGATTGTCAGCTTGGACTTAACGAGCCAGTACCTGATCCTCTCATGGTTACCATGTAGCCCCTCGCTTTCGCTTGTCTTAAGGTGGAGCAGATTTCTTTTCTGGCTAGCAGCTATTCTGACTGCTATAGCTAGCAGAATCATGTAGAGACTCAGGGGGTAGGGTTGGATAGAAGGAAATTAAATGAGAGGCCTGGCGTATGTGATTTAAATTCATTGTGAATTGTCTTATTAGAATTAGTTTGTGTGTCGCCTCATTTCAACTTTTCTATCCTATTTCTTATTCTTACATCATCATTTCTCTAGTTCTATCCACCGTAAAGTCAACTCTCCATCCAGCTCTAAAAACCTGATTCTTGTCATACAGGGTTCCTGGATACATCTACCACAAAGTCTCTAATATCTAGACTGCCACAGTACCTTAGACTAGTGTCATAGAAAAAAGGTTTCCATCTAGAAACCACTCATCACTTTCACTTCGACGCATTTTGGATACCACCACTACTGATTCTGAGATGTCAGTACTATCTGAGCTCCGTCCACCTCTGATGTTAGGACAGCATTTTTCTTCCTTCAATGAAGTTACAAAGGTCTTATGAGACTGGTCAATTTACAAAAAGTTCAACTACCATGTTTCCAAGCGAGATTCCACCTGAGGAATCTATATTTGCAAGGTTTCAAACTACCCATAGAGGGTTTGAGCAAATAGAACTGAGATGGGAGATGTCGTAATTATAGTACTTGAAGCCTCTCTTAATTGTATACTAGAACATACAGTAGACAATAGCCAGTCTGCATCAAGTAAAAGCACTGGATACAAGAAATTCTGCCACAATATCTCATTGATACTCAATTAACTAGCCCATAGGAGATTCAAGACTGTTTATGCGATTGATTTGCTGAGGTTATCGACAATCAAGTTGCTCTCCAAGCCAAGCAAGCACTATTGAGTGATGGACTTTAAGCATATTGGCTTGGCTTCTCCAAATTATCCTCCTATATCGATATCTTAAAACAGCAAAACTCTTAGCTACATGTTCATTTGTCCATTGATCCTACAAGTTCACACTTTCGGCGAATCTTCATTTGCTGGCCAAGTCAGCAAACACTTTCCAGTATTGCTACCACTTTATAGCTGTACATGGTAGACACCTTACAGGAAAGTTTCAGATAACTCTTTTGCTAGCTGTTACAATCTACACTGCTGGATACAACCTATTACTTACATAGTATGTTGTAGAATCAGAGAGTAAAAGCTCATAGGACTATTACTTTTGGTAACTACAACTCGCAATTGTGGTAATCATGACTGAACCTACAACTCTTATTAGTGATTGTGATAAGAGTCTTGTTAATGCTTCAGAAATTCTGTTACCCTTAGTATTATGAGCCTACTACTGTCAGTACTTAAAGGAAAACTTTATCAAACAGTATGGAAAAGGTATAGAGGTCAGGTTTTTGAGCTATTGCTAGAGCAAGGCTACCAGCAGACTTTGAGAAAGAAATAGTAGCATTAAGATCTGAAAAGCCTATGGCAGAAGTGTATCTTTGTCATATTGATCTAGTCCTTTAGAGTACTGCATTTTTTCCGGAGAACCTCGCCAGATTTGAGCATGATACTTCCAATATTATTGAATTAGTTAAGAAGAGCCTGAAAATTGATTGTCAACTTTCAATTGTAGAACTATTGAACAGAATTTGGCATAGCTAAATGGCTCTCTTCTGTTTACTAGCCTACAAGAAGCTAATAAATACCAACCTCGGTTTACGAAGG